AGTAAAAAAATATTCTGAACAATAATTTACACATATACTAAGCAAAAAACAATTTAGATTTCAAATTAATGTGTTGGCAAAAAAGACTTCATGGTAATAACACACGCACATCATGTAAACTGTGGCCACTGTGGGAGCGATATTTCATTACCTTTACAAACCCAGACACCAAGGAAAGTAACTTACAAAGTAAACTGCTCCGAAGCTCCCATGACCGATCTCCCTCAGGTCAGTGAAGAGCTTCTCGGGATCCTCCCTGGAGAACAGCTCAGCCACCTCCGGGTCCTTCAGGCTCCCGGCCCGCACACTCGACGGCATGACCAGCGCCTGGTGAGCGTGGAAGAGACACACTGGGTGAGCGTCTGTCATTTTGAAGAGTTACCAACATTTGTGTTGGAACCATGAGGCACCAAGGAAATATGGCTCAGTCTATTCGGATGTTTTGAGGAAATTATCTACGTTGCTCTGCCTTGATATTATATTTATTTATTCTTTAAATCCAATCCTCTTTAGATATCAAGTGACTTGCTGGTGATCACCTTCTAGTTCAAAGCTGCAGTACATGAGTTACAGATAGCATCTTTCTAAACACACCTATACTGTTTATTATTTATATCTGTGTTATATTAATGCTGAATTACTCTGTAATATCAAATGGCTGCTGTTACTGTTGATCCCACCAAAAATCATTACACCACTTTGCCGCTCAATACAACGTTTCCACTCCACAGGGTCGAGCCACTAATAAGAATCAATAAAAAGCTGATCCTGTTCTCCATCTGCATTTCAAATGTATAAGAATAAAAAGTTTTGCATCACATCATCTTTGTAGAGATCAGAATATTTTACAATGACTGATTCAACATCTTTATGCTTTGGAGAAATTCTCCTCAAATAACACTTATAATAACTAGTGATAGAAAGTTTGACATTTTGATAATAAAAATGTGATTGAATTCACTTTCAATCAAGCAGATATTCAGTGTGCCATGTCTGATGTGATTTGCATTATTAAATTAAATAATCATGTTAAAACAAAACAATGTGCAGGTCGACAAAAATAGAAAGATGTCATGGTCATGAGGAGAATCAGCATTACAATGATACAGTGCTGAATGTCGCCTGATCAATCCTGGAGCTCTGATAAATATTTGGAAATTTACAAAAAAAAAAAAACATGACCAACAATCTTGTAGTTTTGTTTTTTAAGGGGAACTGACTTTGCATGACGTTTCACACCACCAGAGGCCAAATCTCACAAAATAAAAAAGCAAAGACCGGCTTCTCAGGCAAACGACTGCACAGCAATTACAATTCTTGATTTGTTCGACTGGGACCCAATTTCACGTTATTTCAGGGAGTACGTTTGCAGGAAAGATCCTTTTGAAAACAGAACATTTGTGTTCAGTGTTTGTGACAAACTCCAGCACAGGTTCCCATTTTGAAATGAGAGAGAGATTCTGAAACTAAAACTTGTCATTTGTGTTATGCACCATTTTTCAAGTTACCAGTGTCATGAGGATTTTGCACAGAGATCGATGTAGAAATGCAACAAATGCAGAATATACATGTGTTTATATAAAACTGTAGATAGGCTGGAGAGATGATCTTGGATAAAAACACACGATTGATAAATGTGTTGCCTCTTCCTCAGTGTGACGACTGACAGCTTGCTTAAAGCTAAATATATACATGTATATATATATATTAATGGTCAGTGACTTAAGTACTGAGCTTTTTATTACAAGAACATTTTGGTTTGTGGTTGCTGCTGTCAAAGAGGAAGCTCCTGAGTAAATGAGAAGTTCTTTGTATCTTGAAACCAAGCCTGCAGCAAGCTCTCAATAACACAAACACTCCAATCTTGTTATTATTTTTTATCCAAGATCATCTCTGTAACCTACACACAATTTTACAATTAAATCATCCTGGTCGTATTAAGGAAAACCCGCTGAGGGAGAGAGGAGTCATTTCCTGGACGTGTTCTCTCCATCAGTATCATGCACCGGGTGAATCTGAGCTGAACGAGCTCCGTGGCTTTTCTCACTTGGCTGGTCAATTAGGTTATATTCGCTCCGGATGACCAAAGAAACGCGTGAGATGTATTCACCAGCAGACAACAACAACTCCAGGCTGGCTGTGTGTCCAGTGTTCAGGCCAACAACAACCCTGCACGTCAATGTCAACCTCTCCAGGGTTAGAAGAGGAGGAGGCTGAACGCTGCCAGCTTCTCCTTCCTCCTGCTAGCGCGGCCGGGTGAGGCTACTTTCTCCCCCTGAATGATTTATAACATGTCCTACCGTGGCTTTTGGGATCCACTGTAGCTAGCTGTGCAGCTAGCTAACCGGCCTGGCTGGAAATTATTGGTCTCACTCCCCTGTCCTCGGCGCTGGTGTCTACTCAACACGAACGAACCGCATCGTGTCCGTCGATGTTTTTTCTCGGTGTCCCCTCCATCCTGGTGCTCCGGGTCAAACGGACAGATGTCCCGTCTGCACCGCTGGACATGAGTTCAGTGGCCGGGGTTGGTGGAGGGGGTGGGGGGGTGAAGTGACAGCTCGCAGCTGACAGACTGAGTCCAGGAGAAAACCACAGGCTAGCTCTGCAGTTAGCCGCACCGCTAACTCAAATAACCGGGACCACAGGAGCCGCCCGCCGAGTTTCCAACGACAAACCGGCTCATTAATTTCCACGGCTCCGCTCCGCGCTCCGCTTCATGCTGTCATCGCCTCAATGTGGTCCACGGATTTCATCTCCAGTCGGATCTTATCCCCATTTTACTCGAGTCCCATCCGTTTTTGTTCAGGACTTCATGATGGCGGAGCGGGGCGGGAGCCGAAAGGAAAACGGAAGTGCTCTTCTTCGACGGTGCTGGAGCACGAGAGGCGGAACAGTGACACCGTGTGGCTGAGCAAAGACATTCACGTTATAATCCTAATAACGATCATAATTATAATTATCGATTCATGTTTTTATTTTTGTATCATTATCACTCAAGTTAAAATCAAACTTGAGGAAAATACAGATATGACATATTTCCAGTTAAATTTACTAAAGGAATCAAAAGTAAATGTGCTAATAGAGCATTAAAAAGTGCCCCTGTGTGTTTTATATTATAATTTGAGTTTCAATGTGTCAAACTTGACCAGTGAACTGTCCAGAGTTGGTTGAGGTAGGGTTAATATGACTGATTTATTCCGTTGAGTAGTACCCATTGCTATTTATAACTTGCATTTGATTGCGATGCACCTTATTTGAATTTGGCTAAATGTTTTTCCATGTAAAATTATTTTTGAAATGTTCTTTCTGTCTGGTGTCAAACTTGCTCTGCACACACACACACACACACACACAGACACACATCATCACAATCACACATATGGTTCATTTTGATCCCAGCCTCCGCACTCGTAATCCACTCAGTATAATCTCTGTATTGTGCTTTTTTAGCTGACACACAACATACGCCACACACATATTAAGAACAAACAATTTCCCTTTTTGTACTTCTTCCCTGTGCCTGTTAAAATCAAACTGGCACCAGTCATCAGGCAGTGATACGTCACAAATAGACACAGTTATTCTTATCCACTGCGACTTACACTGACAAGTTATTCAACGAGGCAGAATGTTGAAGGATCAAACATCTGAACTCAACAGCTGGTTTTCTAAAACTCCAGCGCTTTCATAACATCTTCTAAACCTTTTTAATTTCTCCCATTGTCCAAAATAAAACCCATACACCCCTTTACCTCGTTTACCTTAGTCTCCCCTCCTCCTCCTCTCAGTTTTCATTCTTACCCTCCACAGACATCTTTCAACAGCTGTGGGTGTGGCTTTGCATAACCTTTCAGCTGGCCCACCAAAAACAAGGGAGGGGGGAAAAAACATAATAAAATCATTCCTAGCGCCTGTTGCATATCCCAGAGGATTATTCGTCTTATGCAAACAGATTTTTGATGAATTTACATAACAGGGATGCAGACAGAGGGGAAAGGTTGGAGCAGAGGACACACACACTATGAAGACCTGCAGCGCTAAAATGTTTTAGCTTAGCTTGTTAAGTCTGACTCAATGTTTACATTTTTGCAGTAGGAAGCCAAGATTGACCTCAAGGCATTAATCCCCCTCATTGTCATCAGAGTAAGAAATAATCCTTTTTCATGCAAATGTAACCAATACTCATTCAGATTATCACACAGAGAGACGTTGGCTGAAATCAGCCTGTGGCTCTTGAATTCAGCCAAAATATGTTTAGTTCCCACATCTTTGGAAAACAACGGAGCCTCTATCCAATTGTCACTGTCATATGTTTTCTAAAAGAAAAATTAAAGCCAGGGATTTAACATAAAGGGAACTCAACTCAACTAAAATATACAGCTGGTCCGGCTTTAACATTTTTATCATTGTGTTTAAATTTGAGAAACAAAGCTGATGACTCAGACTGAACCAGCAAAAATTCTGATGCGTCTCCTGATCCAAAAATAAAAACTGCTGCAGCGGAAAACACACCTGGAATATTCAGTAGTTGGCTGTTTATTTCCCCCAGAAGACGTTTACAATTCTGTTGCACATCATCATCAAAATGAACACTCAACTCAACTCAGACGTTAAATATCAGCAAAGGAATTAAAAGTAAAATATATCATATGATAGTAATGATTTAAAAAACAACAGTGGTAGTCTGTAATTAATTTACTGTAACTAAAGTAACTGAAACCGTAAACAAGCAACTGTAACCCCCAACCTGTAAACTAATCCTGTTCCTCCTTCAGCTGCGGGTTCAGATGTCAGTATAACATACACTATGATGTCAGCAGGAAACCAGGGCTGCATCTTTAGCTCACACATGAACTGACTGTCATCCTGTCACACACGTCTGACTCCTCCCCCCACGGAGGGTATACAATGCTGGATGCAGCCACTCCTCCTCTCATGCAACCTCACAGCATCCCTGCAGACTGGGCACACAGGGTCAGCACACACTGAGAGGCAGGTGTGTCCTGGCTGAAGAGGGAACAGGTCTGATACTGAGAAGAAGACAAAGACACCAAGAGAAGGGCTGTGCAGGACAGCTGCTGAGACTCAACTTCAGGGGTCGTCTATAATGCGATTGGCTGAAGAGAAGAAATCACCTGAAGACGGTGAGCACAAATAACCACTGGGACACTCATTTCTGAATTTTTTTTTCTTTTTTTTCTATCCAAATGTAAAATTTCTCCTGTTATTATCAGAACACAATTGACTTTTGACAATGTCAAAAAATGAAGACACACACACACACACATGGGGGGAAAGAGTCCCTACAGAGGACATTTTGTTTAATCCCTCAGAGGAAGCACAGACTATCCAATCTGTCTTAATCCTGACTTTCTGGCTTTAACTCCACTCCTCATCTGTATCGTGTCAGAATGTGGTTTCACAACATTTTCAAATAACACTTCACTCTCTGTGTTTCCACTTGCAGACATGAGTTTAGGGGCAGCGTGCATTTTCTTGCGTGGAGGGAAAAACATTGTGAGTACAGCGATTACAGCCTTTTTTACATTTTTGATGATTTTGTGCTGATATCTGCTTTGAAAAGTGTTATAACTCAAAATGCTGTTGTGTGCCAGTGATGCTACTGGGCCATATGAAGCCCACCTGCGATATGGGCATAATCACTCAAATCCATGGCATAAGAAAATCCCACCATTTAATCTCTTTGCCACTGTGCCATTTAATTGAATAGGAATACGTGTAAAGATAAATAAAACATCCATTTTGCTGATTGGATTGTTGAAGGGTTGGTTGCCCATTTTCTTTCTGTTTTATATAACCAACAATCTTTTCTCTTATGCAGTCACGAGGACTGGCTGATGATGAGATAGATGGTAAGTTCAATTCTCATCATTTGATTTTTTCGAGTAATTTTCTTTTCCTTAATGTTTCTTCATAAAACGCAGAATAAACTCATCAGTTTAATCTTTACAATTCTATATTTCTCACCTGACTCAGTGTTTTGTTGTATTTTGCAGAGCTGCGTGATGCGTTCAACGAGTTCGATAAAGACAAGGACGGGCTGATCAGCTGTAAGGACCTGGGGAACCTGATGAGGACGATGGGTTACATGCCCACAGAGATGGAGCTGATTGAGCTGAGTCAGAACATCAACATGAACCGTAGGTCCTCACTCACCTTTAGGTCGTTCAGAACCTTTAAATGCAACTGAGAGATGTTTCTTAATTCCTGCAACTTTATTGTTTTTGTTTTTTTGTATAGTTGGTGGCAGAGTTGACTTTGAAGACTTTGTAGAACTGATGACTCCGAAGCTGCTGGCGGAAACAGCTGGGATGATTGGCATGAAGGAGCTTAAAGACGCCTTTAAAGAGGTGAGACAGAAAGAACTCCTTGATCCTGCAGCTTCACGACTGTCTCAGAAGTAAAAACAACGTTTAAAAAAAAATTCCTCTGTCTCTCTGGTTAGTTCGACATAGATGGAGATGGAGAGATCACAACAGAAGAACTGCGGTCCGCCATGACCAAGCTGATGGGCGAGCACATGAGTCGGAGAGAGATAGACTCCATCGTGAAAGAAGCAGACGACAACGGAGATGGCACCGTAGACTTTGAAGGTATTCTCAACATAAATGTATGATGTTGATGTTCACCAAGTTTAGAATACATGTGACTCTTTGTGCATTCACTCATTAAACTTTCCGTCCTCCCTGCAGAGTTCGTCAGAATGATGTCCCATCAATGACGGCCGAGGGGAATGTCAATGAAGGAAGTACCTTTGCACATTGGCAGACATGCATTGATACTGATGCCGTGTTTCTCTACTTGTACTAATCCAGAACAATTGTAATCATGTGAAAATTCAATGTTAGTGCTGCACAGAAAAATCAAGCAATATCAAGTCATCCTCAGAGGGAATATACAGCTATGCAACCATGTAAATGAATCTAATGTAAAAAATATATTGAAAAGACTGTGATAAACTGATTAAGCTTTATGGTTTTGTTTGATGAATTTGTAAACTCAAAGTTCTTTTTGGATTGTTTTGTTGAACTGACAAATTTTTGAAATGTATGGATGAAATCCATCAAGTTTAATATAGATATCTGCCTTAGTTTGGCCTTGAACAAAATAAAATGTCTAAATATGAGTAAACCTTGCACATTGTGATTTAATCTAAATGTTTGTCTGAACCAAGGGTTTGAATTTATTTGTCACATTAGGTAAAGAATATGCATCAATATTCAGGTGATGGCAGCTGAGTTCCTTTTAGCTTCCTCATCATATTGTTCATGCTGGCTCGCTGTCACAGTTTAGTTTCAACTGCAACTAAACTATCAAAACAAATGTGAAGCACATTCATGACTTTCATAACAAACCAACTTGCATAATAATACACAACTCGCTGGTTGTGTAATGAACTGACTCAATGATCTATGGATTTCGTGCACCAAAGAGGGGATTTGAAAACCAAAAGCTTCAGTGATGCTGCTGCTGTGCTGTGGGTAGAAATGTTGAGGATTGAATAACTTCTCCACCCTCCGGCTTTTGGAAGGACATCAGGAAAGAGATTGTGTGACCATAAATGGACATGCCGCTGATTTGAGTACTGCTCGCAAAACATCATCGAAAAATTATGACATCATGACTCATGCACAACAGATTTCTTGGTATTAGATGCAGAAAAAGGGAGCAAAAATATATGTTCGTCACAGAATTAAGGATTAATTGAGAGCACAGACGTGACTTTGTTTGCTTCAGATGATTATGAGTGCAAGTCGTAATTATCTGCAAACATCTGTAGATGTGTGGGTAATATCTGAGGTGAATTAGTTCTTTATAAAAAAATGTGTGGAAAAACTGTATGGATCAAAACAGAATCAAAGCAAATGACTGTTAGTTAGCTCTTTCAGTTTATTTCCACTAATACACAGTTTGGATCAGATCTGAAATAACAGACTTAACAAATTTCACCAGTCAACACCACAATAAACGCAAGTTTATAATAGAATAAACACAAGTGTCTGTAATACAAAAGAGCTTTTAACAGGTCCTGTGAGGGGCAGCTCAGAGGGGAGAGAGGGTCGTCCACGAGGACGAAATCAACATTGCGAGGTGTCCAAGATACTGAACCTCAAGTTTCCCCTGATGCCTGTATAATAGAAAAGCTGTGTATAGAAACACTGAATGTGTGCGTGAATGGGTGAATGCAATTTGTACGGTACAGCACTTTGAGTGGTCAATAAAACATTTAAATACAGTACATTTACTATTCACCAGAATATATCTGGTGGTTTGTCTCCAACACTGTGTCGAACTGATCCAAAGGCAACACGGCTGACATTAAACACCTTGGTTGAGGGCATTGAGGGATGTGGACGGGGACACAGTGCACCCTGACAAACAGATATTACAGCACGACAAACAGAACCTCAGACGCAGATTGACAGATGGGGTGAGAGGGCTTATAGTACCAATTAATAAAAGTGAAGCTGTTCTCTCTACACAGACCTAATAACTAAACACACATCTGTCAATGCCACTGTCAAAGTCAACAGCAAAAACTCTGCCAATATGGATGGGTTCCAAATTGTCTGATTTTTGTGTTGTAAATAACTTGTGTTGAGTGCGGACAGGATGAAAGAGGTTTGTTAAGTCTAGACGAAGGATTGACAATGTTGAATTTCTTTTATTTGTGCATTAAAGTACATGTATTGTCAGTGGGGGCGTCTGCAGAGGGGATGTCATTTAAAGTGTGCAGTGCACAGAGGGACTGATGAGCCCAAAGGAAGAATCACATGATGTAATGCATGCTGCCCCGCCTCTGCTCTGATCCTTCCCTGATCCCTCTAACATCCAGCATCGACCTTTATTCATTAATCCACCATAATCTCTCTCTCTGTCGCTCCCAGACTCAGTTAGCCTGTGGGCCCAGCGGCTTGTTGTCGTGCACATAATAAGAATGGCAGTTTTGACCTTTCGTAATCATAGGTCAACATAGTCAGCCCTCCGGCTCCGTCAATGTTTCTTGTTTCCGGATTTTCATTTGTGTTTTCCAAACATCCCCATAATCCTTCTGAGAAGTGACAGATGCATCATGAGTATCTTCTGCTGGACCACCTGCGCTGGAAGAGTTAATAGGCCCAACAGTTTATCCAAGTCATCCAGTCTTTTACTGTTCACGTAATCTTTGAATTAAACAGTCAGACGAGTAAATTACAACGTTCTGTAAGTTGCTCCAGCTTCATCCGATGAAATTCACCCACCCAAGTTAAGCTGTCAGTTTTTACTACAAGTTGTTCCAGTCATTTTTCAGCCACATCTTAGAACTAAAATATATTGAGAATTAAGATATGAATTTGTTCCTGACATGATCAAAGTGCCAATAATCTGAACTGAAACATTTAAAAAAACGTTTTAAGAATTATATATACTCCTCATTCTCATCATAACATATACTTACATTTTTAAACTAAATTAAGTTGTTGTTTCCATTTGTTTTGTATGTGTGTATGTATAGTAATTGCACCGTGTGTAACAGTTATTTCATTTTTCTAAATAAAGTACAAACAGATGTGCAGAGGATTGTTACTCATTGTTTGACTGCAACTTCTATGTTAAAGAGAGTCAAAAGAAAGAACCAGATGAGCTCGTAGATCCAGATCCACACACAAACGTAAGGGGTTCTCCCTTGAGTCATGCTCCTCCCCTCCACAAAGCTTCAGGGAAATAAAGCTTGAGCAGATTTTGCGTTATCCTGCCAATAATCAAACAAACACAGATGAGAACACAACTTCCTCGGCAGAGATAGCGATCACACAAAAGAGGAACCAGGGTCTAAATAAGTATTTACTGGCCTCTTTCTCACTATTGTAATGGCAGTATACAGTAGACCTTCCTGCTGTACAGTATTGTCTTTAATTTAAGGTTATTCACTGGTCTTATTATTATTATTATATCTATAATAATAATTATCACCATTAATATCATTGTTGTTACTGTTAATTATTATTTTCATTATTATTATTAATATTATTAGTATAGTCACAGGAAAGTTAAGGTTTCTTCTTTAATATAAATTATACGCGATAAGGTGAAATAATGCGCTGGTGTCGCGGACCAATCAGATCGCAGCAGGAACGGAAGCCGGAAGAGGACCTTCTTCCTCAGTAACCGCGGTGCACCACCTCCGTCACTCCGGGTGAAACGTGTCCAGCAGCTCGTTTGTCTTCCTGAGTCCAAGTTCCAGCTAAAGTACGAAGAGTTCCCTGATTCAGGCAGTGACACGTCCACACTGTCTTCTTAAATACAGTACGGTCTATAAGTATAGACTATAATAATGTGTGCTGGTAGTAGCTAATGTCGGCTAGCTGAGCTGTTAGCATGCTCCTGCAGCTCTCACAGCTGTGGTTGTAGATCACGTCAGAGGGTCTGAAACAACAGAACAGCTTTATTGGTTTAATATTATACTTCATGTTTAACTGTCTGTGTCATTAGAGACACCGGAGTCCACTCAGTGTGAATCTGATCAGACTGCTGCTCATTCACTTTGTCTCTGCAGGTTTTCTGATTTTCTAGTTTGAAAGAAACAAACTTGAGTCAGTCTGAGTTTAGAGTTGTCTGGAATGTGTTCAGTGACTAATTGATTTGCATCACTATAAATGTCACATTATTTCTTTTACATTTATTGTGTTTATAGGCTGATATAGTGGACAGGTGAATAGGAGAAAGAAAACATTTGATAAACCTTACAAAGGTTTGTAAACTCTGTTTGACCTCAAGCCCTTAAACCACATGAAAAACATTTAAATTAGAGATGAAAGAATAAATAATCCACCAAACTTACTGCAATTCTTTTTATTTTATCCACACAGGCTTCTACTGATGCTGACTGGAAGAAATCTCACTCGGACATTTTCATCGCTCTCGTACGTGAGACTTTGTGCCAGCCGGAGCTTGATCTCATCCTCTGCTCTCTGCTCTTCTGCCTCAACAGTTTCGTCCATCCGTCCATCTCTCCCTTCACCTTCTCACAGTCACAGCTTCCTGACAAACCGACAAACCTTGGTTCCCCTGCACCCATTTTTGGCCTGCCTCTGTCACTCGACTCCCTGTTCAGGCCTGATGGAGCTAAAAGAGGTTCTGCAGGTGCTGGAGCAGCTCGCTCCTCTGTCACTGGCTGAGTCATGGGACAACGTCGGCCTGTTGGTCGAGCCAAGTAAACCTCGGCCTGTTAAAACTGTCCTGCTAACCAATGACCTCACAGAACCTGTCATGGAAGAAGCAGAGGCCATGAGCTGCGATCTCATAATCTCATATCACCCTCCGTTGTTTCGGCCAATCAAGCGTCTAGTTCAGAAAGACTGGAAGCAGAGGTTGGCCTTGCGAGCGGTGGAGGCCGGGATAGCGATCTTCTCCCCTCACACTTCATGGGATAGCGTTAAAGGAGGGGTGAACGACTGGCTGGTCGGGGGACTTGGTAAGAAGTCACTCTGAATGGAAGATGTGTCACGTACACTTTGCTTATGCTCCTTGCATATTTAACGAAGGCTTTAAGCTAAAATGTGGTGACACATGATGCCCTACAATCAGGACCAAGTGTCAGTGTCTGGTCCCCTGAGTGATTGTTTTCCATCTCTGGTGTTTGTCTGTGATTCTCAGGTAGCGGCCAAGTGTCCGTGCTGAGTCAGGCCCTCGGTGGCGCCTCCCACAGTCACAAACTGGAATTCATGGTCAGGAGCACAGAGGAACTAAGCACCGTCATGGAGGAACTGAAGGCTTGTGATGGTGGAACTGCACTACAGTATTCAATTAACAGGTCGTGTTTCATGACCTTTAAACTACAAGTTGAATATATCTGCACTTAACTGCAGACGATTTTCAAAACATGCAGCAAGTTTAGATTGATTTTCTTTGTCTCAATCATCCATCTACCAGCTGAATCTACCTTTCTCCATCAAAGTTGTGAAAACTGTTGCGAAAATTGTGCTTCTGCAAGAATTTGCCATCAGTTTCAAACTGCCAGTGCCACTGTTTTCAGAACAGCCATTATTAGTTTATTATTCTGGGTTTGATTTTCTAGTCACTTTGCATTTTGAGAGTCGGCTTTCACACCTTGGATATCAAAGCTTCCACCACCTTCATTACCATAAGTTGATGGCAAGACAGCCAGAGAAGAGGCTAAATACAAATTACAATGAATTCTCCTTTATGAACTATTTTCATCAAGTTTGAATGATGACAACACGTTGAAAAGAACAGAAAATAACCACAGTGATGATGTATTTACCTTCCACACAGACCAGAAAACAGTGGGATCCATGTAAGTGTAACCTGCAGCGAGTCAGCGCTGACCCTCAGTGTCCACACTCTGTCAAAACACACAACTCCCAGCCACTCCCTGAGCATCCTGAAGTTAGAGAAGGTACGGCATGAACACATCACTGCTATCACAAGAACAAACATAAAACATATTTATTTCAGGTTTTAAAAAGTTATTCTTTATATGTTATAAAGCAGCTGTTTGTAGTATGATTTACCAACATCTTACTTCATGCATGATTTTAAACCAAGCCTTCCACCTGTCACTCCCTGCAGCCTCCTCTTCCAGGCCATGGCCAAGGGCGACTCAGTATTTTGAACCAGCCAGTAACCGTGGCAACAGCCATCCAGAAAATGAAGTCTCACCTGGGTTTGAATCACCTCCGTTTGGCTTTAGGATCAGGGCGGACACTAGGTAATGACCTCACACCTTGTCCTGGTACATACACTTCAAAATAACACATGTAAACTATGTGATGAACCAGTTACTCGTTAGTCAAGTTTGCAATTCATTTTATATCAATCAGACAACAAATCAGTGTTTTTACACATTTAATCAAAGCGTAACAATAAATTCTGCTCTTGAAGAGTGTTCCTGACTCCAGCAGACTGTTACTAAGACGTTAAGAACACTTCCTGTGAAGACATGAGACTAATAAAACTATGATTTTCATTCATTCATTTTTCAGAGTCCTCTGTGTGCACTGTGGCTGTGTGTGCTGGATCAGGAGCCTCAGTGCTGAATGGGGTCAAAGCAGACCTTCATATCACAGGTAGAGGTTTCAACTAAAAATATAATGTGGTTGATATTCCTGCTGATTTAACACCAGATATTACTGTGATGAATATCCATTTTTCAGGTGAGATGTCCCACCACGAGGTGCTGGACGCTGTGGCGAATGGAACCAGCGTCATCCTCAGTGATCACAGCAACAGCGAGCGAGGTTTCCTGGCTGTGTTCAGGGAGAAGCTGGCTGTGCGTCTTCCTGACAGCGTCACGGTGGTGGTGTCAAAAGCCGACAGAGATCCCCTGGAGGTGGTCTGACCACATCTTAAACATCTGTCGGGTAAATTGGAAATATTCTGATCAGAGTCAGCGCTTTCTGACAGAGGCAGATAGAATGTGTGTGATAAAAGCTTTGCTCTTTATGTGAAGTTGGTCTCTCCGTAAAAAAACTGTGCCTCATTTAATGATGAAAAGTGCTTCCTTGTTACATGTAGTTTGTCATGTATTTATAGGAGGGTCTTAATAAAATGGGCCCTGGTTGATCAAAAAGATGGATTGAAGCTTGTAATCTGAATACATGTGGTTTATACGTACAGTGGATTAATTCGCACATTGTTTTAATCACGATAATCTGTGACATCAAGTGTGCCCTTCACCGGTGGGGTGAGAGAATGTCAGCATCCACACATTTTCCCTAAAAGTAAGTTGCATCATGCTCCCAGTTGGGGACAGGGTAACCCTGAGGAGATTAAAAGCCTCGTTTCATCATATACATGATGGAGGAAATTGGACAATCTCCTGGTCTGTGCTTCTTCAAACAAAAGCAAACTGAGAATAAGAAAGACAAATAGTTTTCATGATTCCTTACAAATGAAAAGAATAAATCAAGTGATTTCTGTAGATTGACCTAAAACCTCAGTGAGTAAATAAAGGAGGACATCAAAGCTCTTAGCAGGAAGACGTCAAAGAGGAGACCTGTGGAAATAATGAATGCTCTGTAAACAACACACACTAACCTGCCCCCACTGCAGTGATGGTTAAAAAACAACACGTAACAATCCTCATTATCGCCTGTTACAGAGTCTGGTGGCTGCAGCGCCTGCGACACACCTGTTAGTTCGTAAAAACATTAAGAGACGTCACACTCGCCTCGCTGCAGCCATCAAGGTAATGACCTCTCCCTCTCTCGGTGTGGCGTTCACACCTCCACTTCCCCTCAGTCCCTGCTCGCTTTTATCTCTCACCAGCACACACGTACACAAATGGAGAAGGAAAACAACAACTAGAACAACATTTTCACTACACTCCTGACCTGTGAGGTCACTCCAGCTGTCACTGCGATACTTGCAAGAATCCCGATGAGCAGGTAGATTCGGGGTGAGTATGTCAGTTTGAGAGTTTTTCTATCACAGGCACAATTTATAGGAAGCCATCTACACACAGATGAAGCCACAAACAGTTTATCCAGCCGATCGCGGAAGTTGCAAAAAGCTCGAGTCATGATGTAACGGTAATCCTCTGCTCAAGAGCCTCTATGGTCTGATGACACGTCCTCCTGAAAGCAGCAGATCAACGCTGCAGCCACTTCTTGCATTTTAAAGTCTGATGAGGATCTGTTCAGTTCAGTAAACTTCAAGGAATTCAAGTTAGAACGATAAAAGCTGAAAAGAAACTTGCTGACAACAGATAAAAACCAAAATAGCACTCAGTAGAGCTCATACCTCCCCCGAGGCCCAAAAAGTCCCCTTAAATCCAGTCAAGCTGCACCAATTACACACACTCATAGATATCAGTCCCCTAAATGTGCCTGGTTTTTCTCATTAACCTCATTGAATAATTCCCTTGGAAATCAGTGCAAATGTCAGTGTTCTTCCTTGGCCCATTACCACATCCAAGTTTCATAAAATCCCTCCAGCAGTTTTTGCATATATATATTTATATTGCAAATTCCTTACGTACAAACCAGCCAACATACGGACAGAGGTGAAAACATAACCTCCTTGGTAGAGGTAATGATATATAATACTACTAATATATAAAAGAAGGGTCTGACTACAACATTGTTGTTTCATTGTGTTTAAACCACAAAGCCTTTCTGCTCAACAAACGTCCCACACAGGACGACAGAATTAGTGTCGGATTGATTAATTCCACAGTTCCAGTGTTTTTGGAAAATGCTCGGCCAGACTAAGCTTTAATACTGAGCTGAAGCCTGAATCCAAACCTCCATATAAACCTCCAGACACCCGTGTTCGTGTGGGGGCCAAATTGCAAAGTGTCTTCCTCCTCCGGCCTCATTCAAGGCTGGACTCCCTGCAGAGAAGAACTTACAGGCGGACTGCTGAGAGGAAGAGCCCTGTCATCAAGTCATCAAACAGCCACAGGGGAGCCGCCAGTAAACCGCTGGATATATGTGGAAGGACAAGAGCTGTTTGAAACACGAGCAGCGGCTACAAGAAATGTTACAAGTGTCAACACCACAATGTAAAAATAATCAGATAGATAGAGAGACAGAGTGATAGAGAGAGAGATGGATAGATAGAGAGATAGAGAGATGGATAGATAGATAGAGCGATAGAGAGATGGATGGAGAGATAGGGAGATGGATGGATGTTATATCTAAGAACACTGCTTTGAATTCATCCATATATTTTATATAAAACATTATATTCAACATAGTTGTGTGTGTTAACATGTGTGCACAGGAAGGTTTATGTGTAAAGAAACTGTAAGATGCACGTTTTATTTTTTTTGTCCTTATAAAGCACCTGATAAGTGAAATGTGGTGAAAAGGAAAATACAAATAACAATAACATTATTTGAGTAAAGCTACTTATTCTACCTCTACTGACGTGAAACAACAAATCACAATAATGATTCTCTCAGAAACTCAAGTAACACTTTGACCAGTGTTGTTTGTTTTAGTGGAGTGGGGGGGACATAAGGGAAGATGGAGAGACAAATGAAAATGGGGCCATTTGGCCTCATGTGTGAAGACTCACACACCTATTTAACAGAGCAGGACGCCACTGAGGGCATTTGTAGCAAAGGACGGAGGAGAGACAGGAACTCAGAGCCAAGACAGAAGTGCCACTTTTCAAGAAGAGGTCTCCAGGACAGCACTGACAACGCTTCAGCTGAGGTCAATCTGCAAAAAGAAACAAGAGTTGAAGAGTGAAATGTTAGTTTGGAGCTGGTGAAGAGGACGAGTTCTAAGTGACAGACGCCGACGAGGACGATGCTGAGTGTGGAGATGTTCCCCGGGTTGACTCTGGGACCTCAGAGGATCGGAGACTGCTTCTACAGAGGTGAGAGGGAAAGTGCATGAAAAATACAAATGATTTAATACTGTTTCCCAGAAATGTTATAATGTTTATCAGATTTTTAAATGATGCACCAAAAACACTGATGTTTATGAAGCTCTGTTTAAAGCACTTCAGCTCCCACAGAGATGATCTGAGGCTGAGGCCTGAGTTGGAGCAAACATTTTTATACCTCAATAAATCAAAAACATTTAACCCTTATTTTAGATTTTAGACAACAAATCTATGTTTTTCAGTGGATTCAGATTTACTCTAATTTTGTGATTTGATTGATTGTGTTCTCTTAGCTTGTCCTGGCAGTGCAGACTGGTGTTTTAGGTTATAATACTACAAATTAATGGTATTTCAGGAGTGTAAACACACAAAGAAGTCACATCATACAACAGGATAAAAACAGGGTTTGATATCATTAAAATCGTATTATTATAACTTTATAATCTGTAAATATGCATTTCCTCAGACCGGGAAGCTCCTGCCCACATGTCGCTGTTTCCGCCAGCCTGTGACGTGGCCGCCAAAGCCCTGCCCCAGAGGCTGCTGGCTCCTCCCCCTGTCCCGAGCGAGCCTTCGACCAAAACCCCAAAAGACGACGTGAGGATGGAGCTGGAGAACTCATCTCTATGGAAACAGTTCAGCTCGGTGGGCACAGAGATGATCATCACAAAGAAGGGCCGGTGAGAGAATACTGCGATACTGGACACTGCATGTGTACCACCACTGTGACCTTTGACTTCTGGCTTCACTCTCAGCTCCTGCACCTTGGTTTTTATCCTCATGTTTTATTCTCTGACACAAACAAAACAACAGACAAACATGAACGTGTTTTTTTGTCTTTTACTTTCCTAGACGGATGTTTCCCGGCTTGAGGATGAAGCTGTCGGGCCTGAATCCATCTCTGCGTTACATCCTCCTCCTGGACATCGTCCCAGTGGACAACTCCCGCTATCGCTTCCAAGGTGGCGGCTGGCAGGCTGTCGGGGGGGCAGAAGCAAGGCTACCAGACCGGGTCTTCATTCATCCAGACTCCCCCGCCACGGGCGCTCACTGGCAGAGCCGCACCATCTCCTTTCACTACGCCAAGCTCACCAACAACACACTGGACTCACAGGGACATGTAAGTTTACTGCGGACTCAGCAAAAACACAGAACAAAATCCTTCCCTGAGGACTTTGAGCAAATCTCTTTTCCTCTGTTTCCAGATCATCCTGCACTCGCTGCATCGCTACCAGCCCAGAGTTCATGTGATCGAGGCCAGAGACGTGCTGAGGTGGGGTGGAGGGCAGCACTCCTTCGTTTTCCCCGAGACCCAGTTTCTTACAGTCACCGCCTACCAGAACAACAAGGTACCATAACTCTGCCTTTACACTGCATATTCAAGACTGGGCCGAAACCTAGAACGCTATATTACAGTGTGTACACAAATTCACCAAACATGGATTTGAATTTGGATCTGCAGCGAAATTTCACACACTCAGGAGATCCGCATCGAACAGAGACAAAAACACAACCCCCATGGTGGAGGGTTTTCCAAAGTTAAGAACATAAGAGCCAGAAATAAAGATCATCTTTCCTGTTGTTTCCAGATCACAGAGCTGAAGATCAACGCCAACCCCTTTGCAAAGGGCTTCAGAGACGATGGCATGAACAGCAAAAAGTAAATACAGACACAGAAACACACCCACACGCTTTGTAGCACAAACAATGTTCAGAAACTAAACTCCCCTTTGTTCCTCTGCAGACAAAGAGATGCAAGACAGAAGCGGAAGATAGCCGACCTGACGGAAACCTTAGATATTGGTAAGTGCAGACTCACATGTCATGACTTTGAAGTATTATTAATATTACTTCTGTCTAACTGCTCCTGACACACCTCCACCTCTGTCTCCCTCAGTCAACTGTGATTCATGTGACTCTGCCGACCTTTTGGCGCTGCCCCACTCGACCTCCGCCACCTCAGCCGCAGACCTGCAGGCCCTCGCTCTGGCCTCTCTGCCCCCGCTGCCTGACCCCTCCTGTGGGTACAGACCAGAGGAGGCTTCTTATCAGGACACGCTGGTCCCAGAGCAGCCGCTGGACCTCGGCCAGGCGTACATGGCATCCCAGATGTCTGACATCGGCATCTCCATGACCAATGGGATGCAGGACGCACCGGGGAGTGAGGTGGCAAATAGTATAATTGAAAGGTGTGTGTGTGTGATGTATACGTTTCATTTATTATTATTATTGATTCATTGTGTAAAATTTACTGCATCTCATTAAACTTCTGTTTCTCCGCTATAGATCTGACGCTTTGGGTGAACCAGCTTACTCCTCCAACTTCCCTCCTGCTCAGGCCAACTCCTCCTCGTTCCCCTCAGCTCCTCTTCCTCACTCCTCCTCCTTCTCCTCCCTCCCCATCCCCGGCCCCTCAGACACATCTGCTCCTCAACCATCCATCCCCCCTTTCGACTATCCCTCCATCCTCTCCTCCTCCTCACCCACGCTCC